GGTACATTCAACCATTCGAGGACCATTCAGAAACCATTCAAATATCCATTAAGTACCATTCCAAATCATGTAAATACTATCCTAATCAGAGGATATTATATCCTAATAAGTTTTCATACACACAAAGACAAAAGGAAATTAAAATCAAGTTCAATGATTTGAGTCGGTGTTAGATAAAGGGAAGGTTGGTGTGATTCCAGGGGTGAGTCCTGCTGGTTGGACTGGTGCTGTTATGGTGTCTGGAAGGGTGGTTGTTCTTGTGATGGGTGGTATGATCACTTCTGGTTCATGGAGTGAAGAGGTAGACATAAAAGCTGCCAAGTCTGGATCTTTATCTTTCATAAAAAGGATGAGCTTCTCCAAGCTTACGATCCGAGCTTAAGATTTCCTGTGCTCCACATCACGTCTGCATTTTCAAAATCATTTGATTTTGGAAGAAAATATAATTTTTTGGTACGCTAAAATATAGAGTTTTAGACTCTATTAAGTTATTTTTAGATTTTGTTTTTAGTTTTTAGACTCATTTGATGTTTAGATTTTGATGAAACTTGACAGTGTCATTTACGGAGAATGAATGGAATAGTAAAAAATATAACCGAAATTAGTTGTTTTGAATTCGCGATGTTTTATTAGATTTAAAAATTTAGTTTGAATCACTTTTTATCATCAATAAGAGAATAAGTATTATGAAGATTCTATAGTTATTCAATTCAAGATTTAAATATTATGAAGATTCTATAGTTATTCAATTCAAGATTTTTCAAAACTCTATCAAAGTTTGATGTTATTTATTTGTGTATTTGTAAATAGTAATCTAAAATCTTCATAAATTTGGAGTTATTGGAGACCATGATTTTATAAATTTGAAGCTCTAAAAGCTATAAAAATTTCATAGATTCAGTCAAAACCATTAGCTTCTTTACTACAAAAAAGTCGAAGCTATAAGCTTCTGAAATTGTCCACAAAATTTTAAAAGACTAATCACGATTAGCCATCTCAGTAATTAGCAATTTTTAGATTCTAATAATTTTATATATAAAGATACTTATAAAAAGGAAAAAGCAATATATATATATATATATATATATATATATATATATATATATATATATATATATGGAAACAAGAAAAATATAAAAATTTTTAAAAAACATATGGGAAAACAAAAAAAATGTAAAATTTTGTTATTAGAATATATAAAATAATATCAATAGAAAATTAATCTACATTTTAAAAAAAAAGAAAAAAAAAAGATCTATGGAAACGAGAAAAATGTACACGTAAAAAAAACATATGCAAAAAATAAAAATGTTAAAATTTTGTTAGTAGAATATATAAAATAATATCATATA